CTCTGAAATGAAATGCTTTACAAACACCGGGCCATTTGCTCTTTCTCCAATCTCTCTTTTCCAAATCCCCATGAGGAACCCTTTTGCAAGGTTCGTTCTTCGTGGCCGATCCATGACTTACATATCACCAGTTATAGCCTCAATTGATATCTCACACCATACCCAAGATAGCGCCAAAGAGTGAGTTCTTTTTTTGGCAAAAGATAACAGTATCACTAAACAAAAATACCACTTCCCTGTATTCCCTTCCTCCGCCACGGGAATCAATGAACTCAGCTGGAATTCCTCAAACAAACCAAAAGTAACCAGGAGTCCAAGTCTCTTCAAACTTGACATCAGATGAAAATATAATGGAAACCACAATACATCCTAAAAGCAAAGACACATCAACTCTAAAGATTCCTGAAGCTCTTAGAATCTCATGGAGGGGATGGAAGATATGCCAGAAATAACAGTGGAGTGTTTCTAAAATAATACATAAGCAAGTGACTTTTGTTTTGACAGAAACTACTACATAGGTGCCCTCTGGAAGTTCAAAGCCACAGAGATCACAGAAGGCAAACATGACAACTTCCTTAATAGAGGGACACGGGAGGAAAATCTCTGGAGGTGGAGCTGTAAGGGTTCAGCAGCTGAGACAAGTGCAAAGCACAGAGATTCAGGAATCATTCAGATAATATCACCCAGGCCCGATTTTTCCAAAGTATGTTCTCCTACAAATGAGCTAATGACAGATCTAGAGGGGCTTAAATGTCTGGTTGTCAAACATCCTGAGAAATAAACTAGTGGGGTTGAGGGAAGCAGAGAATGCTGGGTATGTCAGGTCAGCAGGGCCTAACAAAGATCTGCAGCAACTACTCAGAGGCCAGTTTATCCAATAAACAATTCCAGCTATGGAAACGCTAATCCTCACAGCAGCTAATCCACTGAAACCTGCTGAGAACATTTTTTTTTTTTTTCTGTTTATGAAAAGGAGTTATAAGAAAGGTACATTCTCGATGTGTTTGACGCCAGAAACACCTAGTAGAACATTAAGCTGCGTGCAGGAGTGATGGGAACAGAGGGAAAAGCTTGCATGAGTTGGGTGAGTTTGAGAAATATATTTCCTTTAAACCAAACTGCCATCGGTCAGTGCTCTCCAGTTCATGTTAGGAGAGAGACTAGAAGATTAAAATAGTGAATGTGGGTCTTTATTGTGTTGACTTGTTCATGTTCAAAATTTATGTTTTCAAATTCTGGAAGGCATAAGTGCATTTCAATTAAGGGATACAGTAGTTTGTCTTCTTCTAAAAACAATTATGTAAACTATATTTTGGGTTATTTGTGATTTTAGTACTTTGGGAAGTGTCTGCATTTTCAATTAAGAGCTAAATATACAAATTAAAAGTAGTGCACAGTGAAGCTTACACTCACTAGTTGGTGCATATAAACACTAATATCAAATGATGGTTTTGTCGTGTGATCCGTCCCCCAGCACACACAAATATAGAACATGACCATAAAAAGTAATGGACCATGCCCTCCGCTAAGTAATTTATGACAACAGATCCAGACTGGAATGCCAGCTGGAATTACCTTCTTCCCGTCTGCTATTTTCGCATATACAGCTTTGCACAGATGATAGAAGCTATGTCCTGCAAAAAGGACTCAAGTGAAGGCTGTAGAAACAAGAAACTAGTAGCAAATCCGAATCAAAGGGCAAAATATGCTTGGCTTTAAAAGAGATTTGTTGAATGACTCAATGACCTCTTTTAAAATTAATTTTATGCAGGCCCTAAAAGAAACACGTGTAATCCTTCCAAATTTTTTTTCGAATATTAGATTTATGGTGGCTGGCAAGCAAATATTTAGCTTCACAGTAGAGAATGACAAATAGCTAGTAATTATTTTATTAAAAACACAAAGTGAGCCCAACATTTGACTAAACAGAGAATGAAATATTCCCTGCCTGTATAGAAGGTCTTTATGGAGAATCTGCCATCGAGGCAGTCTGGAATTGACAAACTTAGTATGACATGGTTGATAAAACCAAGGGTATTATCCTTCTTTATTAACCTTCACCCCTCAGATCATCCCCCTAATCCCCTGTGTGTGATAACCACCTCACTTCCTTTCAGCTCTCATTCATTATCCAATTCATGTCTTTCACAAAGAGAGATGAGCTAATGTGCCTTATCAGATTAAAAAAAAAAAAGTCACCACCGGTGATGTCCAACAGGACAGGATCTTAGCAAATCCTCTCTGCTTCCACGGTGCTGGTTTCTAAACACCCATCAAGCTACTAACCCAGGCTCATTCACAGCTTGATGTCACTAAAGCAAACAGTCTGGGCAGAAGAATGACAGAATTATTCTCCTTTCTGATTATCCTGCCCTCTGCATCCTGGTAAATGAAGGATTAGCTTTCCTGTTGGGATCAGAGCTGCCTGGGTAGCTTCAGGCTGTCAGCTCCAGCAGACCCCGATGATCCGGCTTCCTCTCCTCTCCACTAACCAGCATCTCTACCCAGCCTTCCCATGTTCACCAGGGAGTAATCACCAAGGTAATTTTCTCATGTGAAAGACAAAGCTTTGCTTTGTCCCAGTTCATCTATAACACCAATTGCTACTCTGCGTCTGGGTGCTAAACAGCCGTCAGTTTTACCTGCTCTTCAGTCTGCCTTTAAGCAGGTATTTGACTTGGGCTTCAAGCCTAGACTCTTCTCTAGAAATTAAAAGCATAGATTGCCTCTGGGTGCTTTTGAGCTGGGAGTGAAGGGAACCAACTCATTTGGCACTATCACTAAGAGCCGGAACTTATGCATATTCATGAAGTGAGAACACAGAGTTAATTTGGAAAAGGCCATAACGTGAACCACTGGTTTGATTCTAAAGTACTTCTCGTTCCTGAATCTCTGTCAACCCAGATGACTGGGAAATAGTGGTAAATGAAAACATAACTGAGTATGACACAAAGGATGGAAACGTTTTTACCTTTTATTTCTCCACCAGGATTTTTTTTTTCCATTTTCAAGATGAATGTCGAATTATATATTTAAATAGACATTAAAAAGACTTGCTTGGCACATACAATTAACAGCAGTTACTTCAAAGAATATTTGCTTGATGCTTTTGTATTAAAGGGAAAAAAGCTTTAGAGCAATGTTCTAAAGTACGCATTTCATCCTACATGAGGGACAGAATTACTGGCTGCATTATGTTATCTGTCTTGTGCCCCAACAACAACTCAGCAGCACGAATCATGGCCAAATCCTTCAAGAAGATTCAGCAACCCTGACTGAGCAATGCTGTGACATTTTCTGGGCATGGACTGAAGGAACACTTGGAAGTCTGGCTTCGTTCATTCTCTTGCTTTTCCTTTACAATTTCCAGAACTGCCATTAGCACCACCTAATTTACCCAAGGTAAAGGCATGTGCTGAGATCAAAGTCACATGGCTATTTGGTTTGGCATTTAAAAACATCAGAAAATCATGTGACACCTTCCAGTTATGGTAAAACATTTCACTCTAGTTAACAGAACATTTGAGATATTTGTATACATGTGTCTCTATTTATATCTCTCTGTACATACCTAAATGCAAAACAAGAAAAAAAAAAAGGTGATCAGTCTTTCTTCACAAGGCCACTGGGGCGTGAACCAGGAAAAAATCCACAGGAATGCTTAGAGAGAAAATGTATCTCCACCGAGATAGACCTCGTTTAGTCAAACCAAGTTACCCATGCTGAAAGATGTTCACCAAATCTGTGAATTCAACTAACTTTTATATGTATGTAGTTGTTAGCATAAATGCAGATGCAGTGTGATTAGTCAACAGAAAAATAATTTTTAACTCTTTATTTACATACATATTATTAATTGAGGTAATACTACAGTCCCCCGTCAGGCATTGCTATTATAGTGCATTCATCACCAAATCACCCCTAGTTTCCCACCACAGTCATTGTGCTTCTTCTCTCTTTGCTCACACCCTGCTCCCCTCTCGGTGCTTCAGTTCTCTGGATAGTCAGCAAAAAAAGTTTTTTCTTATTTAACAAACTCTGCGGGTAGTAGATTTACTCTTCAATGAATAATTTCACCTATTACACAATCAGCATGGTCAAAATATTTGAATCCTTGACAAAGAATGGAATTATTTACAGGATACAATGTCAGAGGTATGGGTCAGCAGTGTGGGGTCTGGCTTTAGGGAGCAGGGAATTTATAGTGGCCCAAGAAGAGAGAAAGGTTTCATGAACCATCATGTTGCTCTTAACATCCGCTATTACTATTTTTATTCCTTTATATATTCAAGTTCACTTTGGGCCTCACATGACAATGTTATGGTGAGTTAAAAGTTGTTAAGATCATCCAATCCTTCAACATCTCTAAATAACTTAAACCTAAGAAAGATTCATCCATATTCATGGTAATGAAAAAAGAGAGGTAGAATATGCATAAGAGTCATGAAGATTCTCTCCAATTTTGGTGTTTTGAGAATTGGAGTCAGCTGCCAGGGCTTTGCTTAGGAGCTGGTTACAAAAGCAGGCTCTGGGTGGTACTCCAGGCCCACTGAGTCAGAAACCTCACTGACGCTCCCTAAGGGCACCATATACACAACACATTCGAGAAGCAGTGATTCGGCCTATCTGGGCTACTTATGGAAGAGCAGCTAATCGAATCCATGCACAGCATTTACAGATGATGATAAACATGAATGGTTTTCGATACCAAAAGCCCAACATAGGAAAGAAAAGTTGGTAATACTTTCTTGGTTACAAGAAACAGTTTGTGAGACTCATAAGAATAGGATACAGGTGACATGTATAAATTGACCTTTTAAGGCACAGTGTCAATTGTTCCAATATGAATGGGACCATCATAGAAGGACAGAAGAAATGTATCCTATTATGATCTGAAGATAGATCTCATGTTTCTCTCAGTAAATGGTTCTGTGTCTTCTGTATTTGATGTCTTTCCCTGCCCACCCCAGGCAGCCCTGCTTATCAGGATACATCCTTACCTCTTGGGGTTGCTGGTACTGAGAGGCCATCAGAATGAAAGCCCGCTGGGCCTGGAAAGCACTCTGCACCATTTCTGCCTGGGAACCAGAGAGAAGATGGGTGTTTAAATGTTTGAGATCTGAAAGAGTTCTACATGTTTCAGTACCCCGTGCCCCTCCACATGTTTCCACAGGGGCAGAGCACCCCGTGCCCCTCAACCCCAGGAGTCTCCCCAAGGAAAATGCAAACAAATATCCACACAAAAACATGTAAATGAATGCTCACAGCAACATCATTTATAACAGCCCCCAAGTGGAAACATCAGCTGATGCCCATGAACTCATACACCAATTAACTGACAAATGGGTGAACAAAATGAGACACAGTCATACAATGGAATATTATTTGGCCTTGAAAAGAAGTGCTGATGTGTAAGACAACATGGGCAAATCTTAAAACATTATGCTGAGTGAATGAAACCAGTCACAAAAGACCACATTTGTGTGATTCCATTTGTATGAAATGTCCAGAATAGGCAAATCTACAGCGACAGGAAGTAGATTAGGGGTTGTCAGGGGCTGGAGGGAGGGAGCATGGGAAGTGTCTGCCATCAGGACGGGAATTCTTTGGGGAGTGATGTGAATGTTCTGGAATTAGACAGTGGTGATGGTTGCACAACTTGGCGAATTGACTAAAAACCACTGAATTGTATACTTCAAAAGAATGAATATTGGAAAGCTAGAATAGGACTTCCAGAGGTGAACGTCATATAGTTTACACAAGTTGACTTTTAATGATGCACTCCTGGAACATAATGTTATCATGCACTGTTACTTCCATCAAAAAATAATAAAAAGTGAATGTTATGATTTAGGAATCATATCTTATTAAAAGTGCTTAAAAAAATGCCTGAGTTCCAAACTACAATGACTTTCAGAGGGCTGTCCCTATTATCTGATTTCACAGTGTATCCAAATCTGTGCCCGTATACTTCCCAGTGGAAAGAAAATTGTCCTTTAAGACATTCCCACAAACTCACGTTCACTGAAAGTAAATAGCTTCTACAGTTGTTCATTAAGAAAATTCTGGAAAAATGGGGCCTCCCCGGTGGCGCAGCGGTTGACTGCTGGGTTGAGAAGCTGCCCGCAGCCTCTGCAGCGCCGGTTCGATCCCCGGCTGCTCCCCGGCCACCGGAGGAGGGTCCCACATGGCGTGCAGACCTCTCCTGTTGCCCACTGCTCCCCTCAGCAGTGTACTTCGGTCCTTCTGCCTGCTCTGCTCCCTGCTCTGGCTCTGGTGAATTCGCTCACCCTCCCGCGCTTCTGACTGTACCCAGTGCTTGTATAAATCAATCAATCAATCAATCAATCAATCTTCAAACAAACAAACAAACAAAGAAAATTCTGGAAAATATTTCAGTGCTACTTGGACTCAACACCTCTCACCCCCAATGCTGTGCGAGTAGAACTGTCTTCAAACTCAAGGTGCCCTATTCACTTATCTTTACCCTCTACCCATTACTAACTAGTTCTCTTATTTTCTAAACTTAAAAAAGTTACCGAAGAGTACCAAGAAATAATCATTCCAAAAATCACACAGGTATTTTTTCCAGTTTTTAAGAAAATTCAGAGCAAAGCTTAATAATGTAGAATAATTTTTTAAAAAAGATTATAAAGATTAAAGCTCAAATACCTCACTCTTTAGATATAATCATTATTAATATTAGATGAACAACTTGTAAGACACACATGCAGCGAAACTTTCATAAAATGGGACTATATGTACCCTAGATAATATTTTTTATTAAAAATTACAAATTTTAATTATTATTGAATAGATATGAAAATAATTATTAAACTTCAAATAAATGTTTCTGCACTATAATACTGTCCTAAACAATTATTCCAAGGTTAAAATAAAGATTATAAGATATTAGAAAGTTGAAATAACTGCTTCTTTTTTAAATGACATAATTTTAAACAATATTGATAGAGTCTCTGCTGAGAAAATGAAAACATAAGTACTTTCTCATATCTTTCTACTTCTGGTCCCCTTTCATATTTTCTAGTTATTTTTATTTTGCCCAATTGACAGCATTCACAGTCTAGATGTAATATTAATTCCCACATTTGTTGAAGATTAGCTCTATATTTATTGTTTAAATTAATTAATTTACTTTCCTATGTTGTTGTTAATTTTTGGACAGTATTTGATTTCCTCCCTCAGGTGTAGTCACCACCATAGTACCTGTGATGAATCTTGGCATTCTTCAAAGAGAGAAATGGTATAAATATTGCTGAAATTCATATGAAATCACAAAAAAAAACCCCAACCCTACCTGACTAAAAAGGGGAGAATGGAGGTACCACACTTCCAGACTTCAAACTATACTACAAAGCCATAATAACAAAAACAGCATGGTATTGGAACAAAAAACAGACACACAGACCAATGGAATTGAATAGTTTTACATTTATACATTTGTACTGGTTTGCATTAGTCATTTTACCATGACCTCTCCATTTCTGAGTTATTTTTGCTGTCTTTTGTTGTTGTTGTTATTAAAGATTTATTTTATTTATTCAAGAACTGGGGTATAGGCCAGAAGCGCGGGAGGGTGAGAGGATTCACCAGAGACAGAGTGGGGAGCAGAACAGGCAGACTGACGAAATACATTGCTGAGGGGAGCAGCAGGCGAGACAGGAGAGGTCTGCTCACCATGTGGGTTGCTCCGAGGCCGGTGGGGATTGAACAGGCACTGCAGAGGCTGTGGACAGCTTCACAGCGCTGCACTCAGCGGTGCCTGCACCATCAGGGAGGCCCTATTTTTACTGTCTTTCATTGGCTGAAATCTTATCAAGTATTTTCTTTCTAAAAAGTCACAAGGTTATTTTAGTTCTTCAGCTGTAAGCCTGTCTCCCTGTCATCTTCATATTTGAATAACACCTTGGCTGGTTATAACATTCTTCATTCTCTCTCTTGACACTATATGTGGCAGTGGAGAGATCTGAAACCAGTTTGAACGTTTTTCTCCCTTGAAGGAAATTGACGTTTTTTGGTTTGGCATCTGAAAATTATTTCTTTAGCCTTACAGTTTAATAGCTTAACCAAGATATGTTTAAGCTTTGAGCATGCTATTGTATTTCCTGGAATAGATTTGGTCTTTCATTCATTTCTGGGAAATTTTCTTATATCTTTCAACATAGCTTCTGTTCCATTTGTTAGAGTTTCTATTCAGTGACTTCAATTATTATCCTCAGATTATATAATATTTGAATGTCTTCATGTCTGTTAAATTCTTTCTGTCTTTCACTTCCTTGTCTGTCATCTGTACTTACTGTGATCATATGAATACGTTTCTCTGTGGTTAGTCAACAGATTTTCAATAGGGTCTTTACACACATTAATGTTTCTTTTTATATGTCATTGATGTAGTTTTTTTGTCTCTGATTTGTCACTTCCCTTTTCCCTTTGCGTTTCATTCTTTATCACCTTGCTTTAAGCTATTTAAAAATATATTTATACACTTACTAAATGCTAAGAGTATGAGTTATGTTTTTACAAGCCAATGTGAGGCATCTATTACTGTTCCTTATCTTCTTTCGTTGAGGGCTAGTCTTTAAGGGTGTAGCAGAGTTAGGAACCAAAAGCCACCAGTTATTGAAGGGTATTATTTTAGGCTATGCTTTCTTTTGTTTGATTATGCTCAGTGAGGTTTTAGTTCTATTTTTTTAAACTCATTTGTGGAGAGGGAGAAATTTGAATTTAGTTTTATTTGTTCATAAATGTCTATTCTCTTACCCAGATTGGTTTCATCTTTAATTTCATCCCTGTTAAATTCACGTGCGTTTGGGAGCAGTTTCTATCTCTGTGCCATCTTGGATAATGTCTTATATTATCCATCTTGAAAATTTCTCTGACAGATAGATAAGAACCTGATTAATACATTTTTGAAAAACAGATAACTAGATAGCAATAATAAGATTAGGCTAATATCATCCCAGTGTCAATATGGGACAATTTTTCTGGGCTGGAATGGTAAATTTTTAACTAACTGGGACATGACTAATTTTTTTGTCATTCCACTTCATTATCACATTTTACAATCTGACATAGTTTCCAAAATGTTTAGTGAAGTGACCACCTTAATCTTGCTTCTAACTTTTCTCATCATTTCTTGTTCAATGATTGGTTTTTATTAAATGAAAATGCTTGAAATAAAATCAAGTTTTGTAAGCTATTTACTTTTAAAACCATTAACAACATAACCAACGAAGTCTATAATTGTTTATTTTTAATTTTTTTTTATTTTTAGAATCTCATGAATTTTTTTTTCCAAAGATTTATTTATTTATACAAGAACTGGGGTACAGGCCAGAGGCGTGGGAGGGTGAGAGGATTCACCAGAGACAGAGCGGGGAGCAGAACAGGCAGACTGACTGAAATACACTGCTGAGGGGAGCAGCGGGTGAGACAGGAGAGGTCTGCCATGCCATGTGGGACCCTCGCCCACTGGCCGGGATCGAACTGGAGCTGCAGAGGCAGCGGACAGCTTCACAGCACTGTACTCAACTGCCTGCGCCGCAAGGGGAGGCCCTCATGAATGTTAAAATGAGGATATATTTTCCATTTTAAAGTAGACGATCCACTCTTTCTTCTGATAGCCTAATTGCTAGAATTCAATTGCTTAATAAAAATCTCAAATATTGGGTATTTCTTAAGGAGAAATAGAGGATTTTCAAATTTTACTGTTCTAGGGGCCATTCTGATCTTATGAAGGAAGGCAAAGCACTAAGCTGTACGAATGTTTATCCACACATCAAAATGTGTATGTTCAGTGGTTCAGAAGAACTTTTGTCAATTTCCAAAGCTCACCTTTCCAAAAGAAGATTATGAGCTACAACTTTCTGCAGCTTGGATATAAATGAAATATCTGCACTTCCCCCAGCAACGATAATACAGAGGATTTTGTCCTGCTTTATGACAAGCCTTGCAGAGTCGAGGGAACTATAGTTGCTGTGGGAACAGTGACTTGGGATCACCTGATTTCTGTAGTTAAAATTGCAGCTCGCAGAGGCATTAACAATATTTTTGTAGT